AAAGGAATTAAGCCGGGCGCAAAAGGAATTAAGCCGGGCGCAAAAGGAATTGCGCCGGGCTTGTGTTGAGACAGAGAGTGCTTGACTTCTCTGGAAGAACTTGCGCCGGGCGCGAAGAATTGTGCGCCGGGCGCGGAACCCTAATCTGATCTCCCAGGCTCGTATTTGAAGCCATTTTCGGGGATCTTTCTCTCCATTCTCACATTGGGCGCCTCCAGGAGCTGCGGAAGGGATTCCCAGGGCTTGGGATCGTCCGTGTGCGGATCTTTCCTTCGGTTCTTCACTTCCTCTTCCATCTCTATTTTGTATTTGCCCTCTTTGTTGAGTGGTTTCACCCATTTTGTGGGGTTAGATGTAACCAACGTACTCTATTGTAATCTTTACGGTTTTAATGATATATATACATGTTGTTTTATTCTTTGTTGTGTTTGTTTCTATTCTTAATGCTTGCTTTGGATTTAATCTCATTGCATGATATAGGTTCCATTGGGTATTGGAAAATAACCCTTGAAACTAGCTCTGAAACAAATGCCTAGTGGGAAATGTATCTAGGAATGGAGCTTAGCCCATTAGTAGTCTTAAACCCTAGCCCGTAATGCGGATGTAGATATTGGGTACTCAAGGGATTGATATTCAATATCCACATCTAGGCTCTTGCTCTAAGGGATTAGGTTTGAGTAAACTTATGGGTTGACTAAGCAATGAATTTAACAAGAGATTAAGGATACATTAGTGTTACGTTCGGTGAAATCTGGACCCCACAACCTCACAAAACCATTACCATTTCTACCCTTTTCCACTCACAAACCATTATTTATTTATAGCTTTCATTCCAGTAGTCATGCTCTTCGATTCATATACATGACGAACTACAATTTGGAATCATTCTTTAGTCACGAATAGTCATTAAATGCTTATTTTACCTTCTAATCCCTGTGGATACGATATTTTTACTACTTGAACGGCCGGTATACTTGCCGTGTTTGAGACCGTTGATGGAATTAAACTAAATTTCAATTATAACAAAAGTACTTCAACGGAAATTTCAACAGCCACACAAGCCTAACAATCCATAGTTTAGGCTAACAGTAACGACCGCTCGAATGTCAAATGTTGAACCTCCTCAACATACTTATCATACTCCCACAAAGTTTCATTCTTTTCCACAATAAGCTTTGCCAAACAGGTTACTACCACATCTCCCTCTTCCTCAAAACTCGTCTTTCACAATTTAAGCGCTCCTTCTCAATTTCTAATCACACACAAGTCACATCCAGAGCCACCCTCTTTGTCTGGCTACTATCTAACTCGACATGCATAATATTAACCTCTGCCCTTAAGGCCTTAATCTCCTTGGGACTCAATCCTCCATCTTGCAACGATGCATTGTCAGCCTTAACTTTAGAATTATCACTCTTTGACATCGTATGCAAGAAACCTACATCAAACAACCAATTAGAATCACTACAAACTATACCTTACACAAACTCCCACAAAAATGCAACGACAAATAAATATACCTCACTATTTCAGAGTGCAAGAGGCTACCAGTGAAACAAAGAATGAACAAGAATGGGAACTGTAACATTGTAAAAAAAAAAAAAAAAAGAGGCTGATTCAGACCTAGAAACTAGGTGGATTAGGCAGCAAAGCAGAGGTCGAAGCATTCTCTGATAGGTTACTTTCTTGGTTTGAAAGAGAAACAGAAGTCAACAATATGCCGAGTATCTGAACTTTAACTTCTTGAAAGTGCATGCGTATGTTGAAGAATTAGACCCTGGTTGAGAGGAAGGAAAGTAAGGAGAAATTGTTATTATTTTTTTGGAAATTTAAATGGATGGAAAAGTGGAAGGAAAAAGAATTTCAAACTTTTGTTATTAAAATATCAAATTTCTTTTTTTAATTTTTCTTCGATAAAATAAAATATATTAATATTCATTTTTTTAATATATATTTTTCACTCTCATTTCTTCCAAACATATTTAAGAGTTCAATATATTTATTTTGTTTTTGTGTATAACCTTTTACATAAGAGTTTAACTTTATATATGCGCAGCTAAAGTAAAAAAAATTTACATAGTTAATTAATAAAAAAATCATTGTTAATATAATTCTTAAGATAAATATTATAAAAGTTACTATTTATTACTGTTATAATATTTATGTTGACTCTTAATTAGCAATGTGTATTTTTCTTTTATAGCTTTTCAATGTTTTGATTACTAGGGTGTCATCATTATGAGTGAATATACGGGCAGCAAGTCCGTTTAAGTCTCAATTCAATTTCTCTTCTAATTATGTAAATTTTTTTAAAAAATATGTTCATTAATTGTGTGATCTATTGACTTATCAAATTAGTTTACGTAGGCTTAAGTTCATAAATACTCATCCTTATTCTAGTCATCACATGACAAAATATTATCGGGTTGAGACTTCATGATTTTGTTCTTAAAAGATATTTTTATGGACTAAAAAAAAAAAATATTTATAAATTATTATTAGTCTCAATTTATAAGTGATATAAAGTTGTATCCGTATATTAAAGTATTGGTATTAGAAGGGGTTGGATCACACACATACGAAAGATTAAACCCTTTAATTTCGATCAAGAATTATAATTTTGTTACACTAATAAAGCCTTACATTATTTAAGGACTAGGACTTAAAAGATAATTTATAAATGCTACCTTTTTTTTTAATCTCATTGATGCGTCTTTTTAACACAATATCATGAGATCTAGACGTACTAAAGTGGATACAATATCAAATGTGGTGTTACCCTTAGGAAGATTCTTTTAGATTGTCAATAAAATCAGTATTTGATTTTTGATACAAGGATTATTATGTTAAAAAATCTCCACGAATGATTTTAATACAGGGTATAATGCAACTTGTGAGGTTTTTCTTTTCTTTTCATATTATACGTACGTAAAATGTTGATATATAGCGGTGTGAGGTGTTTTTTCATGAAAAGTAATTGCATAAACTGGTTCTTTTGATCTGATGTCGTCATCCATATTAATTATCATCTCAATAATCAATCTTTCTCCCTCGGTAGGGTCATCCCTCCACTGTATGGCCATTATTAACATGCATTAAGGGAAAATGTTAGCCGGGTAAGCAACTTGAGTGTATGAACTACTTGTGACAAACATTCCATTGCACACGAATCTGAGTTTCAACTAAAACATTTCTCCTAAAAGACTATCTATATATATGCGTTAAATAAGCACTATTTAGTGTGTGTTTGATAAACCATGTAAATCAAGTAATGAGGCAAACGGCCAATGAACGAGAAAACTATAATTTTTTTCCTTCTGTGTTTATTGTTTTGGAACGTGTGAATGCCAATTTTACAACATGATTCCCAAACACAGCTCTATTAACTAGGATTTTTATGCGTGTGGGTAAAGAATCGAATACCCTTTTAATTAACAAACAAAAGATGCCGTTGGCCGTGAAGTGCCACACGTCAATTTAAATCTATGACTGATATTCCTTATTTTATTGTGTTTTTATGTCTTAATCTGCTGAAAGAGAAATTCCAACGATTATTAAGAACGAATATTTCCATGTAGAGACATAACTTTGTGTTATTTGCCAATTGGATTCAAAGGAAGTTTAATTTGGACCATTTCATGTCACATAAGTAAACTCCCACCCTATTTAATAAAGGAACCGTCACTGGTCAAAAGACCCAAAATCCAAAGCCAACACATTTATTAACCATTAAATACAAGCAAAAAATTGTCAACAACCACGCATTGAATGCAACACACACAATCAAGACAAAGCAACAACAAAAGAACTCGGGGGGCTTATGTACCATTATGAACCGCCCATCTTAAATAAACAACTTCACTTATAACTCCCTTGTCCTAAAGAACTCGAAGCTTAAGGGGCTTATGTGCTGCCTAGCTTGACTAGGTTGAGTTGACTCCCTCTTGCTTGCCCACACTAGGTCTTTAACTCATCACATTAAGTAAAACCCTAGATAGTTAACTTTAAATGATTAGTAAGATATCTTGGTATGAATATCCTTACACAATCACTATAATATATATCTAAGATATCAATACAACATGATCTCCATGTATCATATCTCCCAAGATCGGGATTACATAATTGAGAACGATATCTAGGCTAATCAACAAGAATATTTCATAACATCATGCAACATATTATTTCTAAACATAAAGATAATGTGCATGGAGTACTAGATATCATTTTACCATAAGCTAATTTTTAACCCAAATTTCCATCTAAGTTGAGTGTTAGAGTACGTCCTTGCATGTAATCCCACCGTTAAGGATATTATAGCAACAAAAACATTATCCTATCGTCAAAACACTTATCAGGATTTTAGTAAAAATAAAATCAACTAAAATAACTACTTATATAAATATATATAATTATGTTATAATTACCTTCTAACAAAGATTAAAAGAATCAATATTTCTTTAACATTTAGTATTATTACATTAAGTTTAAATAATAATATTATTAATGAGAAATATTCATATCAATCTATATTAAAGAAGAAAAAAAAGTCAGCATCCCAACACGTTTTAAAAAAGTAATCTGTTTATGACAAAATTCTTCAAAGATCTGGAAAAAAATAAAATAAAAAAAATATTAAAATCATGTCCTAGCATCGTTATCAACATTTATATATTTTTGCCGTCTTCCGTGACCACACCTTTTTTAAGTGGCTGAAAGGCCGCTTTCCCACTTTGATGCTTTGCACTAACAATGAAGCAAACATAAAAACCGTGAGAATGCTTCCCTCCAACACATACATATACATGTTACAACTTACAACACACACATATATATATATATATATATATATACATGTTACGTGTTTTACTTCCTTTCTATCTAATATTATATTAATGCTATTCTATGTCTGTTTTGGCTGAGACACTTACTTGCTAATCTATGATTATATACAAATAACTGTTAGGTCCAGAGTAGGCTTAATAGTTACTCACAGCTAACTCACCATCTTTCATTATCTTTGTAATTCCTTTTTTGTTGACTTGGACAATGTCTGGTTTGCTTATGATCAGACTCTGATATTAGAGGTATGCGATGAGACTCAAATTGCTGAACTGAGATTAAAGGTGACCTTCTAGTCTCTAGTTTTCTACTTTTGTAAAATTTTGAATACACTTTAATTCAAAGGATGAAAAGAACCTTTAGCGTATGTTTTAAGCTATATGGTTTCCCATTTCCTTGTTATTTGTAAATTACTATATTTGGTTAGTTCAATTGAACATGTAATCTAATGATTAAAAAAAATATATCGTTAGCCAGATGTCAGTAGTGAATGCAGTAAATATGATTTTCTCAACATGTGTCATAGCAAATATTCATTAATGACTTAATGTTAATGGTGCTTTTGTCTGTTTTAGCACATTGTAATTCAAGCTTGAGAGAGTGGTTCTTTTCGGCTTCATACCATATCTGAATATCATATTTTCCTTTTCTTTTTTCATGAAGATTGAATTTTGTTAAATGTAATATTTTATTCAACATTGTGTGTAACTTAGATCCAACTACACCTTTTATTTATACTTGGTTCACCAAAAGAACATGATTTTAGCTTGTTTTATATGCAGATCTCTGAATGATGTTATTTTGCTTTTGTTAAGTTAGGTTGGAGAGACTGAGATGCATCTGAAGCGAACCGTTGGAGTAACTAAAGCGCCTATGGCTAACAGTTCACCAACTACAACACCACCCGTTCCAACTAAACCGGTGGTAGAATCAGTGCCTTCTATCCCACCACCATCACCAGCAAAGTCATCTCCATTTGTAAATGATTCCTTAGCAAAGTCATCAAAATTGGCAGCATTAGATGCTTCTGGTAGCAATAACTATGTTGTAGTATCATCTCCTACGGTATGCCTTGTATAAATATATACTTTGCCCTTTGCTTTCACTGATTTACTATCTTTGAGATGAGGTATGTGGAGTTTACAATCAATTTCTGTATTCTATCTCTTTCCAGGTTGGTGCATTTCGAAGATATAGAATAGTGAAAGGGAAAAGGCAACCTCCTGTCTGTAAAGAGGTACATGGTCTTTCTAAGTCATCAGCTTATCATGACCTAGAATAGTCCCTTTACATTGTGTCTTTTACTGTAAACTCAGCATTGGGAGCATATGCACATGTAGTTTGCATCCTAAGGTTCTGCCAGATCACAAACAAACATTTGTGGTTTGTATATTGTTCATGTTTACCTGTAGCATGTGAAGGGTTATCATGCCATGCTTCAGTGTTATTATGTATCCTGCCTATGTGTCAGCCTAGGTCTACTAGTGGGCCTTTCTACCATGCATGCGTTGACTTTTTAAATCAATTTAATTTACAAAAACAGATTGTGGTGAAAAAAAGTAATTAATAATAATTAATCGAGTGTTGCTGTTAATAAAGTTGCTTTTATTGGGTACATAATATTTTTTTAAAAATTGCATTACCTTAATATAAGCATTAGTTATATTTGTTCACATCAATATTAATTAATAAATATTCTAAATGAATATATATATATATATATATATATAATAAAAGTAATAATTTTCTATTATTATACTCTATTATTTTATATCTATTCTTTAAATTAGAATATGAATTGATTATTTGATTACTTTTGAAATGAACAAACATAAGAGTGACTTCATTACGAAAATTCAAAAACTTTTTGGGTTTAATACATCATTTGTTTCTTGAAT